TTAATATAGAATAATCTGTATCACACCGAAGATTCGTTGTATTGTGAAATTCGTTATATCAAAATTCGTTGTATCAAGAGTTGACCGTATCTGTTTTTAAAAAATAAGAACTTTTGCAGACTGTATAAATAGTTATGAATTTAAATGTAATAATCCTGATAAGGATAACATCTTACTTAAGAATGATAATTATAGTTTTACAACTGATAATACTTATGAAATTCTGATAATACCTTCTATAAATGATAGTAATAATGAAGATATTTATGAATTTTTGTTTAATTATAAAGCATTTCAAAATGTTAAAAAAAGAGCTAGTTTAGATAAATATAATATTGATATAACATGGAAGGATATAGATTCAATTGAAAAAGATTCTATTGAAAAAAGTTTAACAATTGCTTCTAATGATTTAATGAAAATTATCTAATAAGTAACATTGAGTATAAAAATCTTATTTTATATGTATTGATAGATATTTTTGATAGACAAATAAAACATTGTTCAAATTATGCAAAGTCAGGATATACTATTCATCTTCTTTGACAATAAATAGGAATGTGAAAAGTTAATAAAACTGTAATTAATCAAACTAATTCTGAAACTATGTTACATACTTTAAGTGCCTATATGTCATATTTTACATTTAATCAAAATCAATTACATAAAAAAATCAAAAACAAATATGATCAGTAAAAGAAAGTTATATTTATTAACATCAATATCATTTTTATCACAAAAATAAATATTTTTTTAGTTGTGATGAGAGTTATATAAAGCATTCTATAAATATTATAGACTGAAATATATAAGTATCTTGTGTAGGATTCTAATTATATTCAACTTTTAATGATGACAATAGAATTGCTAAAAAAATAATAATAATATAAATTAAGCAATACGTTATATATATTTAATATGTCTTTAAACAGAAAGTAATCATTTTTTTAAGTGAAAAAGAAGTGGCATAAAGGTTTTTTCCTGTCAGAAAGAACATATTTATAATACTATTAATACTCTTAAATTATTAAGACGATAAATTTCAAATATAGCTGAATCAGATAATGATAAATGAAAATATTTTATTAATAAAAATAAGCGTAATAATTAATACAGTTATTAAAAAAGTAAAGCAAAAAGTGATAATGCTAAAAAAGTGATTCCAAGTTTATTGTCAATTAAAATTATATTACATTTAACAAAAATAAATTTAAAACTATTAAATAATAAATATTCAATTATTAATTTTTTGAAAGAGCAATTAAAAAAATTAAAGAAACTTTTGAAATATGTACATAAAAATCATGTTCAAAAGTTCATGAAAAAAAGAAACTTGAAGTATCACAATCACTTGAAGAATATCAAAGTAGTTTTTTAGTAATTTTAAAAGAATTTTTTGATGAATTTATAACCTGTTTACAAAAAAAATATAATATTATAAAAAAAATAAAAGCAAAGAGGATAACTACTAAAAAAATTTGATAAAACTCATTCAATAAAAATATCAGTTTTTATTATTTCAATAATTTTATCAATCATATTTTCAAAAGTTGATATTATCAACGGAGCAATTGACCAGTCATAATGAAGTCACGTGAATGACGCAGTATGACGATCTTTTAATCCAGAATTCTGA